GTTTGCAAAATTTCGATCCGGCAATTTTGATGTTGAAGATGCACCACGTTCTGGAAGGCCAGTTGAAGCTGATGAAGACACAATAAAGGCATTAATTGATGCAAACCAGCGAATAACAACTCGTGAGATCGCTGAGAGATTAAATTTATCGAATTCGACCGTTCACATGATCATTTGAAACGCGTCTGATTGAAAATCGTCTTTCATTTTCATAAGAAAAAACGAAATTACTTTCCGAACAACCTAATATATAACGAATATACAATATAAAATTATTAAATTATATACTTATTATTCTTAATTTAGTTTAAAAAAAAATTAACTTGCCCAACTCTGATAAAATTATATACATGTTGTCACAATTGTGAGTGTGATATATATACAATTCTTTAAAGTAATCTATACGAAACTGAAAAAATATAAACACTGAGAAAAATATCAAGGCTTTTTCGAATCGTAATGATTACTCTTTCAAAAAATAACAAACGGATATTTCCGATTATTTTGATCGTTCAAAAAATCCGATCACATATATTTAATTGTAAATAAATTCATCGGAATGTTCGATGAAAAATATCTGTTCCTTAATAGTTTTTACGGTCAAGAATAAGAATAAATCAAGAAGATGGCAAAGAATAAAAAAGAATATGCAATAAAAATCAAATTCGCGCTAGAGACACGTGTTCGCTTGATGACCTCAACATCAACAATAATACCACGAGTCCTATATTCTGTAATGCCAGCCTAGAGAAGCATTGGACATTTTCCTCAGTGAACATATAAACAATGTGCAATCAGAATCGAGATTCTCTCATAAATATTTAAACATTTAAGCTTACAAATAAAATTAAAATATCTCAGATGACCAAATGCAGTGTGTTTGCTGACATGTTGTAGCAATCAATTTCAACACACTCATGAGTCACTTACAAGATAAGACAGCATTATGTCTGCCGTGTTGAATTCAACGGAATTCGAATTCTTATAATGGCAAAGTGATGGCAACATGTCAGCATAAATATCCTCAACTTTCATTCGAAAACGTGTAACATTTTATATTATCAGCATTTTGTTAGCAATGAGTTGCAATTAAAAAACTTTATAGCCTGAAGACATATTTGCAACAACCGATGGAAATCATTATATATGTTCTGTTGCTGTCATGTTTTCATCATGATTCTTAAGATGAAACAATTGATTGTTCGTTGTTAACATGTTGCTGTTATGTTGCGGACAACATGATGTATCATCAATTTACAGTTGCTTTAAAAAATTCGACAACTGATTACATATATAAGCAGTAATGTTGTTGTATTTCAATATGGCCTATATCTTTTAGCTTTTTGGCCACGTTCTTATTTAATTTACGTAATTCTTAAGACTTCACTTCGGACTTTCACTATCAGTATTAATATGTGTATTTGATGTTTTGAAGGGTATGTAAGGTTCGAGGAGCATTTCATTCTCGAGTCAAATGTTATTCGCGTTGACTCGTCGAATGAAATGCCTCTCGAAAAGATTAATAACCCATATATAAACATATAAATATTGAGTCTTATTGAAATTTCTTTCCACATCCAAAATTTCCACCTCTTCCCAACGGAATTCGTAATTGTAATGCGTTGTAAGCTCTATTATAGTCGAATACGATGTATTTCTTTTAATATGATTAAAATATTTTGAAATACGGGTTTTTAATTTTCTACCCGTCTGACCAATACTTAAGATGCATCACAATCATTTATTCGGTAAACAACATTTCTTTTTGAGGAATCAGGAAATGATTCTTTATGCACTCTAATAATTTTATTTAACTTAACCTGGGAAAAAATATTTTATATATGATATATGTTTATTATAATTATATATAAAATTATATAGAATGTATTAATTAAGTCTGGAAATGGCTACGGATAGGAAGACGTCAAATAGAATGCCTCAAATAGATCCCTTTAGATTATTTAGGTTAATTTGAAAGAACACACTTCATTAAATAAACTACACACACACATACACACACACACGCGCGCG